TTTTTTTTTTTTTTTTTTTTTTTTTTTTTTTTTTTTTTTTTTTTTTTTTTTTTTTTTTTTCTTGTATAGGGTTTGACGTATCTGATTTACGTATGCATGCATCTTATAGCGGAGGGTTTACAGAGGAGACACCTCAAGTACTCTGGCTATGGGAATTACTTGTAAGTAGGGTTTAGGGTTTAGGGTTTAGGGTTTAGGGTTTAGGGTTTAGGGTTTAGACATAGTATATGGAGAGGTGTCTCTTTTTTTTCTCTCTTTTTTTCTTCTTTTTTTTTTTCTTTCCTTCTTCCTTTCTTTTTTTTTCTTTCTTTCTTTATTTCTTTTGTTTCTTCTTTCCTTTCTTTCTTTCTGTGTCTCTCCCTGTCTCCTTATCTCCCTAAGTGTCTCCTTCCCCTCTAATATAAAAATAAATAAATAAATAAATAAATAAATAAATAAATAAATAAAATAAATAAAAATAAATATAATAAAATAAATAGTATAAATAAGAGACAAAGTGTCTCTCCCTTAATTAATAAATATAATAAATAAATAAATAAATAAATAAATAAATATATGTTGTGTATACAGGAGCAAATGTGCGCAAAAGAAAGAAGTATATTTTTAATGTTTGTTACTTCTTGTAGTCGTGCACCATTACGTGGTTTTTCTTCCCTTTTTCCTCCATTTACTATTCATAAAATAAATGATTTAAATAGATTACCTACTAGTAGTACTTGTGTTAATTTATTCAAATTACCTGCATATACACATAAACAATTATTATTTGATAAGGTAAGAGGGGCAATAAGAGGTGCAAGAGGATTCGGCCTTAGCTAGCTAGCTAGCTAGTTTACCTACTTACCTACCTACCTATATAGCTACCTACCTATCTATCTATCTAGCTAGCTAGTGTATATACCGAGCTAGCTAGCTAAGCATAGCTGGCGAGCTAGCTAGCTATGGCTAGCTGTGGCTAGCTACCTACCTAGCTAGCTATTTATATTACCTGTATATACATGTAAACAATTACTATTGGGCTAGGGGGGTTGGGCTTTGCTAGCTAGCTAGCTAGCTAGCTGGCTAACTAGTCTAGCTAGCTAACTAGCTAACTAGCTTATTGGCTAGCTAAATAGCTAGCTATGTGCATGTTTATTCTTGTGTTTATGTTTGTGTCTGTGTATATGCTTGTGTTCATGTCTATGTTTATGGATGTATGGCTAGCTAGCCAGCTAGCTACCTACCTACCTAGCTAGCTAGCTAGAGAGCTAGCTAGCTAGCCCCAGCTAGCTAGAACAACTTACCTTTTGTTTGCAAGCGTGCCGAGGTGCCCGTGCTAGCTAGCTAGCTAGCTAGCTATATAGCTATTTAGCTAGCTAGCTAGCTAGCTTACAGGCGGGCTAGCGAGCGCCTTCCCTATTCACTGTTAGCGAGGGAACAGAGCGCTCCCCTGCATAAGAGCTAGCTAGCTAGCTAGCTAGCTAGCTAGCTAGCCAATAGCTAGCTAGCTAGCTGGTTATCTAGCTAGCTAGCTGCATAACAAGAGCTAATGCCTTGGACATATTTTCTTCCTTCTTTCTATATGGGTTTGTTTGGGTAGAGCAGCAACGTAGATATACTACCAGCTAGCTAGCTAGCTACTATTGCTGCTGCTCCTCCTCCTGCTCGTGCTGCTGCTGTTGCTGCTGCTGCTAGCAGTTGCTGGTGCAGGTATTTGTCTTTTTATTTACGTAATTAGGAGGAAGAGAGAAAAATATTCTCCTCCCCTCCTCCTTCCTGTGTACGTATATACACATTTAGTGCATGCATGCAAATAATTAATGGATTAAATATGCTTTAATTAAATAAATAAATAAATAAATAAATAAATAAAAGATAATGATGGTGTATTTAGGTGAAAAGAAAGAAAGCAGAGGATATAAGGAATCATTGCGTCTCACCCTCATGCCAGCAGCAACAGCAGCAGCACTTGCTGCTGCTGCTGCTGGTGCTCGTCTCTAGTAAATAAATGGTTAATTATAATATTAATTAATTAATTATTATTTATATTTATATTTTATATTAAAATAAACAATAAAAAGAAGAAAAAAACAATAAAATATGCACAAACAACGCCCCCAACACCCCATCCTCCTATTGACCAACGGAAGGGTCACCATGGAGAGGCAATAGGCATTAAATTCCTCTGTTTATGGACATAAATTCATTAAAAAGAATTAAATAATTAATTTAATTAAATAAATTAAATAAATTAACTTAAATATAATTAAAAAAGCAGAAAAATAAACAAGAATCCTTACGGTGGTTACACGTCGAGTCATCATGCATATAGGAGCTGCCTATACACCGGAAAAAGGAATAATTTATTCTTCTTTTCTTCTTTTTGTTTATTTTTTTATTGAAATATTTATTATTTAATAAAAAGAAAAGAAATTTAAAGAAAAAGAAGGGGTATTTAATGGAGGATCGTCCTGCTGCTGCAGCGTCTCGAGACGCAGGACGAGCAGCAGCTGCTGCTGCTGCTCCTGCTGCAGACACGCGGTGACCAGCAGCAGCAGCACATTTTCTGTGTTTTTTCCTTTATATTAAGACATAGATCTAAATTTATTATTTTTTATAAATAATAAAGGTGTCTGCAATAATAAAAAGAGCAAAAGAGTGTTGCTGCTGCAGCAGCAGAAGCAGTAAGAGCACCAGGAGAAAGCGCAGCAGCAGCAGCAGCAGCGCAGGAGGAGGGAGCAGCAGCAGGAAAGCAGTCGCAGCAGCATAGCATAATCCTCACCATCAGAAGCATCAACAGCAGCAACAGCAGCAGCAACAAAACAAATAAAGATTATATATAAGAAGGAAGGAAGAAGTATATATCTATATATAATATAATAAGATCTTTTTTCTTTTTTTTTTCTTTTTTGTCTCCTTTTTATTGTCTCCTTTTATTTGCTGCTAAGAAGAATTTATTTGTCTCTTTTCTTTCTTTACGGAGATGCGCAGAGATCGCACCTCCCTCTTCTTGCTGCTGACCCTTGGTGGTGCTGCAGCAGCTGCTGCTGCAGCAACAGCAGCAGCAGCAGCACCACCACCACCTGATGGAGTTCCTGCAGCAGGGAAGCGTATAAATAAGGTGACGGGGATTTTCTCCTTGGGGGGAGCAAACAGGGGGGGAGGAGACGATCCTGCTGCTGCTGCTCCCGGCTCCAGCAGCAGCAGCAATGTATGGAGACAGCAGCAGCAGCAGCAGCAGCAGCAGCACCAGGATTTGCAAGAACAACTACAGCAACAGGCTGATCTACAACAGCAGCAGAAGCTGCAGCATCAGGAACAGGATTTACCTTTACAGCAGCAGCAGCAGCAGCAGGTGCAGCAGCAGCAGGAGCTGCTGCAGAAGCGTCGCAGGATTCTATATAGAGAGTACCGTGGTGCATTAATCCTTGCTGCTTCTCTTGCTGTGCTGCTGCTGCTGCTGCGCTGCTTCCATGTATTATATATATATAATAAACAAGGAGTAAGACTACTGTCTCCTTTGTCTCCTCTTAGAGGTATAAATAAGAGACAATTAGCAGAAAAATATCCATGCGATCCTTCTCTCCCTGTTGTGACAGAAGGAGACGTATCCCCTCCATCTACTCCTCCTATAGCTACTTCTTCTCCTATTGGGGGCCCCCATGGGGGGCCCCATCATCATGGGGCCCCTTATGGGGCCCCACTTGGGGGAGGAGAGACAGACCCCTTTGAATGGCCCCCTGCACCCACACCCGATGACCTTGCTGCTGTTGCAGGGCCTCAGGGGCCCCCAGTACCAGTACCCTCTTCAGCAGCCTCGTCAGTACCCTCTCCAGTACCCTCTCAGCCGTCTGCTGCTGCACAGGCGTCGCAGCTCCAGGGGCCCAAACCCTTGGGGGGCCCCTCTGCTGGTAAGAAGGTGCAGGGTACTGTTGAATGGGGAGGTAACCCTTACTATACAGGGCCCACTTCTCATCCGCCGTACCCACCTGGAGAGAGACCGCGCCCTCTTTCCGGGCCCCCTTATGCAAGCATAGGGGCCCCTTCTGGTGCAGGCTCAGGGGCCCCTTCTGGTGCAGGAATAGGGGCCCCTTCTGGTGCAGCTAGGGGGGCCCCTGTTGCAGGTTCAGGGCGCCCTGGTTCAACTATAGGGGCCCCTACAGCCGTTGTGTGGGGCCCATTTAATGGCAAGCGTGAGGGTCCAACGGGGCCCCCTGCTGCAGGTATGGGGGCCCCTGAACCATCAGGTACGGGTGCCGCAGGTCCATCATCTAGTGGGGGCCCTGGTACAGTACCATGGGGTAATAACCTACCTTACATGGAGGCAACAGGAGGAACTACGGGGCCCCCCTCAAGTGGTGCAAGTTGGGTACAAGACCCATATTCGGGGGCCCCTGGAGGTGGAGGTGCAGCAGAGGGCCCATTTTCTGCTGCTTCTCCTCCTGATCCTTTTCCTGATGGTCGTCCTCCTGACCCTAAGAAGCAAGAGAAGAAGAAAAGGCGCCAGGAGAAGATGTCCCTCAAGACACAATTAGGTAGTATATTCGGCGGACCCAAGAGAGGGATTGATAACCTAAGGAGGAGGTTCTCTTCTCCCTCCCCTCCTTGGAGTCCCCTAGGAGGGCACACTCCCTTTTGGCGCCCCCGTGGGGGTCACCATCATGGGGGCCACCATCATGGGGGTCACCATGGTGAGGGCCGACCCCATCAAGGGGGCCCCCATGGTGAGGGCCCCCATCAAGGGGGCCCCTCAGGGTCCCCGTGGCCCCCTGTCCATTGGCCACCTACTGAGGGTGGGGAATTGGCGTATGGACCATCAGGGCCTGTATCTCCATTACCATCAGCAGCACAAGCAGCATCATCAGCAGCAGCAGCAGGTGCAGCAACAGCAGCAATGTTAGATGACATAGGAGGAGATAAATCAACAAAAAAAAAGCACAGGACTTGGACAAGCAAGCTAGGGGACAGTCTAGGGTTCAGTACAGGGAGAGGAAAGAGCCGTCCCTTGTCTGTTATCTTTG